AAAAAAAATGGAAAATTGATGATCAAACGCCAACGTGATTTTATTTTCAATTGAGAAAAAAAAAACAAAACAAAAAGACGAACAAACAAAAGAAACGTTTCAGGCTCGATCTGTTTAAATGTTTCTTACACTCTCGAAAGTCGAAATATCATCCAGCGCCGCGCGACAATAAAAATAAATCAGCGTTTCCCCTTGTTTATCGTATTTCCTCTTTACGTTTCCGTCTTTATGAAACGCGAGATATATATATACTTACGAGAAACGCGAGAGGAAAGGGGAGGAGGAGAGGGGAAACAAATTCTACTTGTCTCTTCTCGCGAGAAATAAATCAGTTCAGGCTTCCCTGTTTCCATTCTTCTTTCTTCCTCTCGGCCGAGAAATAGCGAGACGTGTTGTTTCGATTCGTTAATTTTATTTAACCTTCGTTTCCCCGATATACTCACATATCACACGTCAGGAGTCAATAATCAATTGATGACGAACGAAGAAATTTTTCAAGACCGTTTTTTATCTCATCGATAGTAAAGATCAATCAATTCAAGCTGTTCCTTCTCCTTCTCTTTGGAGAGAGTCTGTCTCGAAAAGTAGCAGGATATAATTGTTTCAATTCGTTAATTTTATTTAACGAATTGTCAATGTTCAGTGATCGATGAAATTTTTCGAGACCGTTTCCATCTCCTCGCGAGATTTCTATTGGATCTTTATTGCAACTATCTCTCAAACTTTATATATATATATATATATATAAACAGACAGAAAGGAAATTGGAGAAAATTACCTCCTTATTACCAAGCATGCCGATCTTGCAGTCGAGCAGCATCGTGCTCCCTATCCTGGCAGTGACGTTTACCTCTTGATCGCCGTCCTCGAAGTAGGGCCCGAATTTACCGAACGCGCTGTCCACGCTGGGCAGCACGAACTTCCTTCCAGGTAACGGCCGTTGGGTGCTGCTCGGATATAGCTGATCGGCCTCCATCTCGGTCTTGATCGATGGTTTGATCTCGTAGAACGCTTTCGTCGACTTACCGCCGGCCAACACGAGGTTGTTTACCGGCCTCGAATGATCCTTCCTCGGTTCCATCGCGTTCTTCGCCTGTTCGTTGTCCTCTGCAACCTCCTCGGAAACCGCAGGCACTTGGAACGAGATTGCTCTGATGTCCGCCTCTGCGTTCTTTTGCTCGATCGGTGGTTTCACCGCTGATGTGACGACGATCTCGCGTGCAGACGCGGTCGTGAGATCGACCGAGTCCTCCCTTCTCCAAGAGTTTGGCTCAGGATCGTCCTCGTGACTCACCACGTTCGACAGATTCTGGTCGTCGCTCCTTGAACCTTCAGGCAACCGGCTCTCCAGTGGCACGATGCTCGACGCGATCTCCGCTCGATTCGGCCGAGTCGATGTGACAAAGTCGTCGTTGCTCCCAGGATCGTTGCTGCGCTCCGTCGACCTCGTGCCCGACCGTAACGGATCGTTAGTATCCTGCTCGATGTCGTTCGACGCCACCGCGACGATGGACGACAGGTCGCCCTGATCCTTCTGTAATTCCGCGACATCGTTTCCGTTCGTTTGGGACGCGTTCACGAGGCTCTCGCGATCAGCGAGAGGAAAGTAGTAAGTACTCTTGGTAGGTGCTGCCGGCGATGTTTCGTTGACAGTGTCGTCGACGCGCGCGCGAACCGTGACGTTGGCGATCGTCTGGTTCGCCATCCTCTCGTCCTCCTCGTCTACTCCGCGATGATTGATGCTGGATTCGATGGCACCGTTGTCCGCCTCTGTAACAGGCAGAAGGAGAGATAAATCAGGCAAGTTACACGCTAGCAAAGGTAATCGCCGCGCCGCTTCGTTTCCGGGGGGCGGGAGAAGGACAAAAGAGGGTGATGTATACTTGTGTTGATAAAAATTGTAGTAGGTAGATGTAGAATAATGTTGACTCAGATA